AGGAGGAGGAGGAGGAGGAGAAAAGAAAAAAGAAAAGAAAAGAAAAAGAAATGCTTAAGAGTAGAATTTGGGCTAAGAATGTTTTATCACTGATAACATACTATGCAGTTGTCAAAAATAATACTGCAAAGGGCTGCCAGATAGCTCAGTCGATAAAAGCACCTTCTTAGACACAGGGGCCAGGGGCTCCATCCCTGGCTTGAAGTGTTGGCCCCACCCGGGGGTGCCCTGTAACAGTGCCTCTACACAGGGATTGATCCACACTCATATGAAGACATTCTTTGGGGAAAATTTCCACAGTTATTGCATACTTTTTATTGTTGGGAGCATTTTTTTGTATAGGAATAAAAGTATTCTATTCTGAGAATCATAGAAGAAAGGGAGAAAATGGGGCAACACCCTTATAAAGCCAAAGTTCTAAATCCATACATGATGAGTACCTAGTAAACTGACCTTACTTCTCTGACATAGGGTTCCACCCTTGACCTGCTTCTTTTCCTTATCAAGCTGCTTTTCCATAAGATTTCTTTGGATCTTGTTTTTCTACTGTAATGGCAGTTATATCCTGACAACTTTCAAGTATATTCCTAACCCACTCCTTCTCCCCAAATTCCTGACTCATAAACCCAACTACCTATTTCACATCATCCTCTTAAATATTTGACAGATATTTCAGGCTCTCTCTGAATATTCAAAACTAGGCCTATAATTTTTTTCAAACTCTTTTCTTCATATTCCTCTTGATTTTAGCAGTATGTTTTCTTCATGCCAATTGCTGTGGTTAGAATCATAGTAATCATCTACAGATTTTCCTTCTCTCATCCTAGACATCATTAGTTCAGGGGGGAAAATGTCTTGAGTCTGCTATAGGTCACTCAGAATAGGAACCAGAACAGAAGTCGAATTGGAATTTTAAAAAGCTGTTTACTACTGAGCTCAGGGCCACCCGTCAGCTCTCACGCAGAAGACCCAAATGGCAGCTAGCCCAGGAAACAGGAGGGCTTTTAAAACATGGAACCACATCCAGTTCAGTAAACAAATTCATCGTCTGAGACAAAATAATGCTTTCAAGGTCAGTGTGACCATTACTGAACCTACATTTTCTGGGGACATTGTTTAGTTTCTGGTTATCTTGCACACACAGTGCTGCATAGACTGAGGTTACAAAGAGGTTGTTTATTTAGTTCCCTTTTGAAGTCATCTCTATAAGCTAACTTTGTTTACAAGAATTAGATGAGGGAGGGGAGGGAGACAGCTACTCATTACTAAACAGCCTTAAACAGAGGGTGAGAACACATTCCTTAGATAACAGGAAGCATAAAGGAACCTAATAGCTTTCCATAGTTACAGCACAAAATTCAGTTGACCCATTACAAAGCCTTCCCTTCAAAACATATACTCTTTTTTACAACTTCTACCACTAGCATATAGGTCCGAGCCACTTCAAATCAATTATTTTTGTAGTTTTCTATGTGGTCTCCTCGCTCTTACTCAGGCCCTATCACATTTTCCAGCAGCAATCCAGATAAAAATCATTTTTAAATATAAATCAGATCGTGTCAGTGCTCTGCTGAAACCCTACCATGGCTTGAGTCAGACAAAAGTGAGGCCAGGGCCGGGGAGATAGCCTGGCAACCTAAATGCCTGCCTGGCAAGTGCAAGGACCAGGGTTCGATCCCTGGTACCATATGCTATGTCAGCCCCACCCCAGGACGCGCTGAGCCAGCTGCGAAGACCAGTTGTGGTAGTGCATGCTTGTAATCCCAGTGCTAGGGAGGCTGAGACAGGAGGATCACTACAAGTTCAACCTGCATAGCAAGATCCTGTACAAATAAATAAATAAAGCTTAAAAAAAAAAAAAGTGGATGCATTAACCTATAAAGCCATACAGAAAGTGTTCACTACCATTTCCTTCTGAGACCAAATCTTTTCTCCTAGATAGTTTCATTTTTAAGTCTTCTATTTAGAATACTCCTTTCCCCAACCCTCACTTTATCAACAAAGCTCTCTCTAATCAGTTCATCTAAATAGTACCTTCTGGCTTACAGCTAAAACATAAAAGCAATGAAAAATTTTTTAAAAATCAAGGTGTTAATGAGGAAACAGTTGTAAACATGAGCTAAACATATAGCATTGGTAGCATTTATTAAAAGTATATAAAGGGGCTGGTGAGATGGCTCAGTGGTCTAAAGCACCTACTTGGAACAAGCTTAGCAAAACACAGGGACTGTGGTTCAATCCCCCAGCACCACAAACCAGCCAGCCCCCCCCCCTGGTGGGCTGAGCTGGCCACACACACACACACACACACACACACACATAAATAAATAAATAAAAATTTAAAAATTAAAAAAAAAAAAAAGTATATAAGGCCGGCCTGATAGCTCAGCAGACTAAAGTGCCTGCTTAGGCAGTGCTCAGTGGCAAGGGTTCCATCCCAGGCCTGCCGTGCCAGCCCCGCCCACAGGGTTTGCTCAGACCCCCATTGAGACTGGGAGTAATGAGGCACGTGTGTAATCCCAGCACTTGGGAGGCTGAAAACAGGAGAATCACTCCAAGTTCAATCTACATAGTGAGCCCCTGTAGACCCTGTAAGAAATACAGAAAAAAATAATTTTAAAAATGTATTTTAATTATATATATATATATATATATATATATATATATATATCCCTTGGTAGATTTCACCCCAAAATATTATGTACCTAAACCTTCATATTTCATATAGCTAACAAAAAACATTACCTATCACAAAATGTGCCTTTTTCTTCTTCAGTAATGATAGCACTGTACCATAAGATTTATTGTTTACCTTACATTGTGCACCCAGAACCAATTAATACAAACTCAATGAATGAATCCCAAAATATTGCTTTGATCTCTGTCATTCACTACTGCAGGATGTCTGGCATATGCTATGGGAGATTTTTTTCTTTTTAAAACTAACTTGCATGAGCTTTTCTCAAATCAGTGCTTTAGCCCCAATGGTATGATTCGGGTCATCCAGAGTTCAAGGCTAGCCCCAGCTAGAGTCAGTGCAAGGCTGGCCTTGAACTACATAGTGACACCTTCTCAACATGCACATACACACGTGCACATGAACATGCACACACAGGAAAAGAAAATTCAGGTTCTTGAAAAGACGAAACAAAATAACTTAGTTCTTCTAATTTCAGCGTATCAGTCCAGGGCGCCCTGAGAAACCGATTGGCACGCACCTGTAATTTCAGTATTTGGGAGTTTGAAAACGGGGGATCACTACGAGTCCAATCTGTACTGAGACCGTGTAGATCCTGTACTAAATACATTAAAAATAAAAATGAATGTATCACTCTACAAATTACTTGCTGGCCACAAGGAAAAGGTTTTTACAGTGTAATTATCACTAAACCAAAAGTTGAGCATATTAAATTTGGTTAATCCAAACATCATGCACCCTTAAAATGTTGCCACGAGATGTACTTTATCACATATAAACTTTCTGATAAGCACATCACGCTGAGCCTGACTAAACTTAAGGAAAACATACCAAAGAATACTGTACAGGCTTGCTCTATAGCACATTAATGTAAAAAAATATTTTTTAGATCAAAAGACTTAAGGCAATCAAAAATATAAAAGGGTCTCTAAACCAAATGGGTAACATTTGCCATAGGAAATCTGAAGATTTAGGCAGTGCAATACAAAACTTGGGTGAGTCTTTGCTTTGCCTTTGATAAGCAGGACTCGAACTCAGGGCCTTGCGCTGGCACACGAGTGCGGACCGCTCAGCTACCCCACCAGCCCTCTGTATGAATACTTCAGAAATGCTAACGCTGTTTTAGCAACTCTTGCGCGCGTCCTCTAGCTTAAGCACAGAAGTACCTGAGCCTCCGCACTGGGAAAGCTCGCCCACTGCTCTCAGCCTACCCAAAGCCCGCCGGGCAGGCCCGCAGCCTCCGGGAAGCCGCGCGGCGCCGAGCCCTTTGTTCTCCCGCCATCCCGCCCCCTCCCGGCGCCATCTTGAGCGCGGCAGCGGGGTAGTGGGCCGCCTGCAGCAACACGCTCCGCCGGAGACGCGCACGCCCGAGCCTGGAGCAGACCCCAGACCTTCCACCTCTACACTAAGGCATATTACCAGTACGAACACACTGGACACCGCGTACATATACAGGAAAATGCCTTGAGCTCTTTTAAAGGAAAACGTGGGCGGCCCTGAAAAGGGCCTTTGGTGGGTGTTGCTTAGGCAGCCGACTAACAAGGCTTAGCCGCCGAAGCCGTAGAGCGTGCGTCCCTGGCGCTTGAGCGCGTAGACCACGTCCATGGCGGTGACCGTCTTGCGCTTGGCGTGCTCCGTGTAGGTGACGGCGTCGCGGATGACGTTCTCCAGGAAGACCTTGAGCACCCCGCGCGTCTCCTCGTAGATGAGACCGGAGATGCGCTTGACGCCGCCGCGCCGGGCCAGGCGGCGGATGGCGGGCTTGGTGATGCCCTGGATGTTGTCGCGCAGCACCTTGCGGTGGCGCTTGGCGCCGCCCTTGCCGAGACCTTTACCTCCTTTGCCGCGACCAGACATGCTGAAACCGCTACAAAGTGATTTCAGAAATGTACTGCTAGGGCGCTGTAATACTGTTTATATGCATCGATTGCGGACCTAATTGAAGACTGGAGCCCGCGCAAACACTTCGGTCCCGCCTTCGAACCCCGCCTAGTGACGTCACCAGTGACCCGGATTCTGCTCCCTGCTCGCGCTTTACGGCGCAAGTCCCCTTCGAGTCCTGTCCCGGAAAAGGTGTTTTCCCGCCTTTGTCACTAAATCAGACTAAAGAAATTAACCTTTTTTAAAAATTTGTCGCTTGCTGTTTATGTCTCTTTAGGACGAATGCACTAGAGCTACTTCCCGCAGCTTCAGACGAAAGCGAGAGGCAAGATTTATGTGCCTCCTTTTACTGCTAAGGACCCAAGCACCCCCTCAGCCCCCCCATCCCACCACCGGGAGAAATTTGGAAACTGCCAAATTTGCTCTCCTCCGCCTCAAATTTCTGTAAGACATATCTGCAGTGATTTCCAGATTCTGTAGTATTCTCGCCGGCTGCGGAGAGTTCCGGGTTCCATTTCCAATGCCCGTTCCTCCCTTTTATTAAAGTCTGCAATTCCTGTGTAAGTATCTAAGCTTCCCTTCATATCAGCCCAGCAATTTACCAGTGCTGTTTGCGTCTCTAAGCTTTGTTTTCTGTTTTATGCTGACAGCCTCTTTCCAAAACAAGCAGCTCGCTCATCAACAGCGTTAAGAGTACTGTTAGGAATGCTGTTTAGCTGGATAGCAGAGTGGCGCAGCGGAAGCGTGCTGGGCCCATAACCCAGAGGTCGATGGATCGAAACCATCCTCTGCTAAGTTTATTTATTTATTTATTTTTAAACCAGCAAAATCTGGATACTTTTAAAGGAAACTTAATCGAAATAGTTACAGAAAAATTAGGAAATTAAAATAGCTTCTGAAAACTATCTTAAAAAATAAATAAAAACTATGTTTAACAATTTTGAAGGTCTGCACTTTTGTGGATTCCTATGTGTCACTACTTTGTCCTTTTTTTAACTTATTTTGTAAAGCGTACAAAATAAATAAATAATACAAAACAGTATTAAAACAAAAAAATTAGAAGTGATACAGAATTTCACTTAACAAAATAATATGAATTTCACAGTATTTGTTGTAATGCATAGTGTCTTCAAAAGCTTTTCATATTACCAGATACATGTCTATAAAATTGGAAGAAGACAGAAAATAGGAAAGAAATGCGTAAAAAACTAAGAAGAGGAAAAGGTCAAAGAATTCAAAAAAGAAGACAAAACTAATTAAGCATGAACTGCTCTTTTCCTTACACCAGCAGAAATCCACAGTACAGTTATCCACACCATCCTGCTTACCTATGTAGATCTATTTCTTTCCCTCACTGCCTCTCCTGTCCTCCTCAACTCAGTAATTCCTTCCTTTTCAATAGGTTAAGTCCCTTTACCCAGTGTCTATTGTACCCTTCAGATTTTATTTTCTTTTTCAGGTCCTCACATTAAGGAGACAATACAATGTTTGCACATGTGGGTCTGATTTATTTCACTTAAGAATATGATCTCTAACCCTAAAAAAAATCAGGATCCCCAAAATCAAAGACCCAATCCAAAAATGGGCATCTGAGATGAATATACACTTCTTTGATGAAGAAATACAAATGGCAACTAAATATAAGAAAAACTGTTCAACATCATTGGTCATTCAAGGAATGCAAATTAAAATAACACTGAGATTCTATCTCACACCAGAAAGAATGGTTAACATCAAGAAGTCAGCCAATAACAAGTGCTGCAGGGGCTGTGGGGGAAAAGAAACCCTTCTCCACTCTTAGTGGGAGAGCAGACTGGTACAACCACTGTGGAAATCAATGGGGAGATTCTTCAAAAAGCTAGGATTAGAGATCCTAGTCAACCCAACTTTTCCCCTCCTGGGTATTTTTCAAGCACTGAAAACATCATACCACAGCAATATACATGCACCCATGTTTATAGCAGCACAATTTGTCATGGCTAAATCCTGGAAACAACCCAAATGCCCATCACCTGAGGAATCGATAAAGAAGATGTGGTATATTTACACAATAGAACATTATTCAGCTATCAAACAGGATAAATTTGAGGCTTTCATTGGTAAATGGATGCAACTAGAGGCCATACTCTTGTCCTCTTAATAAATCAGATTCTTTTTGGTTGTCAAACTGTTTATGACACCTTTGTCAGCCAGTTATCACAATTCCATTTTGCCCTTGACCAGAATGACGGGTAGGAGAACTCTTTCATTCCCTGTTATAGTTAATTCAGAAAGGCTTCTTGGCCAAGTGATTAGGGTGATTTTAAGTCTAATGGGAAGTTCCCTATGCATATTCTTTGCAGCTGCAGCTGTCTCAACCTTGGAAGAGATAGGGAAGTTTGAGGCAGGGGTGGTGTAAATATGTCTCTAACCCATACCTTCCTGTGAACTCTCTTTAAAGAACTATATTCTATGCTTATGTGAAAGTCTGTTGTCCCCCAGCCTCAAACTCTTCTGATACTTACGAGCAGATCCTGTGCCAAAAGCTAAGAAAATATTAAGTAGCCTACAGTTTATATACAATTTTAAACAAGTAAATATTTTCAGTATAGTGCTATTTCTTTTAAAAGAGTGTCCACTAAATGTAGTGAAAATAAAGAGAATTGGTGCTTGTAGCCATGACATAAGGGAAGAACTTATTTAACTCAACATACACTCACCATTCAAATTTTATTACAGCAAAGGGTACAATGCAGGAATTGCAGGAAACAGGTACACACAGGTGCAGGCTGGAAAAGGCTTTCTTTCCAGTCTTCAGTGACAACAAACATGTGCTTCCTCAGCTAAGATCTGCATGTCAGTCATCTTTGTCAAACAAAGTTCCCCTGAATATGGAGTCAGTGTTGCTAAAGGGAGCTGCTCACTAGCTACTACATGACCAGCAAGGGGGTGGACCCTTAGCCAGGCATCAGGTGCACATCATGAATGTTGTTACTGTAAGTATGCTGACAACCTGGTTTATAGCGATTTGGTGCTTCAGGAATACAGAATAACATCATTCCTCAGTGAATGTGACCATTCTAGCACTTCACTTTTCAAGGTATGGTCAAGGATCCTCACTGGGTGCTTCAGTTAAGTGAAAAGTGAATAAAGGAATTTTTCTACATTAATGGTGCTGAGTCAAATGTTTCCATCAGGGATGGTGGCAAGTTTTTGAGCCAAAACTTCAATAAGTCCTTGTTAGAATGCCAAAAGGAGCATTTTAGGCAAGGAAACACATACAAAGAGGCACAATAGTTAAGAGTCGGTAAGGAACCCTAAGTAATTCAGTGAGATGGAGTATGGCGGTAAGGGAGTATGTGGTGGTGGTGACATCAATTCCTACTCACACACTTGGTGAAACACAGAGCTCGTCTCCAACACTGGGTAGATGAGATTGCTAGCAGTGTATTATTTGTTACGAATACTAAAAGCCAGGAAGAAAAGGACTCTGAGGGCCATGGAGACCAGTGAGGAGCTGCACTGAAAGGCAGAAAACACTCCCAGAGCCTTTGAGAGGTAGCTAATGAGAGGCTGGGGATTAGGAACAGGCCAAGAAAGGAAGCTTATTGTGTTGCTAACTGAGGCGAGTCAGCCTGTCCAGCTCCTAAGGGCACAGGCCCAATGGGGGGGCCTTCCTTGTTTCAGGGAGGCAGCTCTAGCAAGTCTGGGAACTTGAGGTGAAATCTTCTAGGGGTTCTGTAAGGGTCAAAGGTGTCCAAAGAAAAGCACTAGAAATTGTAGCTCTTATGGCACACTCCAGAGTTATGACAGAACAGTTAAAGGGCAGGTATTAAGGGAGTCGATATGCAATACAAACATTTTGCTTTTATTTTTCCATAGGCAGAAGGAAACTTCCAAGCAATTCTAAACAAAAAATATAATCAGGTTCTCTAGTTTAAAAAAAAAAAAAATCTTTTAAATTGAGCGAAGGGTAGTTTGGGATGATACCCACCAAAGCCTGGCCATCTCATACTGGTGGCCCTCACTGAAATACCATAGACAACTTGCACCGGTCTTAACGCACACGCCCTAGGCCCTCCGTCCTCCTCCTGCCTTCACCCCCATCCACGTCAGAGGAAACTGTCATTACAGAAAGAAACAACCATTGAGCAGTGTGTAACAGTTGTTTCTCTTGTGCTCCAAATCAAATCATTAAGCTTTTCCAAACTATCCAGAAACCAGCTTCTAGTCTCTACCACAGTCACACATGACCGTTTAACCAAAAATGGTATCATGTGAATGCAAACATTGAACATAGTTCTTCACCCAATCTCTGTGTCCTAAAAGAGAAAAAAGTAAGTCTGTATTCAGTTTTTTGCAGAATAAAGCTCCTTTTCATTACACTTTACCTTAAAAGTGTTTTTACAATTCAAAACTATGTTAATGAAGAACTCGGCACATTTGTGTTGCTCTTCTGCTCTCCGCCAAGCAGTACTCCATGCACAAAGTGGGGGAAAGGCTATGTAAGATGCGCTCCTTGGCTCCAGAAATTTATTTCTACTAACCTAGGAAAGCTAAATCCTACCACAAATGAGCAAGTACTGTTCCCTCGTAGGATTATCTTATCTCCTCCTCCGTTTGTATTGTGTCAATAACTTATTCACAAAAAAATTCTTAATTTTTTAAATTTTGTTTCTGTTTTCTCTAGTTCTGAATATAAAGAAGCTTAGAAAGCAGTAATGGCTTGGACCGAAAAGTGCATGGACGCCGCATTATAACAACCAGGGGACCTGCCTGGAGAATAGGCGACTCGCTGACGGAGTTGGGCTGAAACTGCCTGCCTCTGTGGTTTCCTTGGCAACCGCGCGACGCCGGCGCCCTGGAGTCTGCGGCCGCGCCTGCCCTGCCGAGAGCCTGCACAGGCAGTGAAAGAACGATGAAAGGTTTCCTGAAAATCATCCTTTGATACAACCAATATGTAATATTTCTGGCATCTTTTAGGGCACGTAAACTACAATATTTCTGCTCCCGGAGGTCATAGAGCAAACAACTTTCCGTAAAGCAACCCTAGTCCATGAGAGCGAAATAATTGTCAGTAGGACCTCTCATAAATCCCACATCCGGCATCCATA